GATAGGTGGCCTGATCTACCCCATTGGAATCTCATTCTTCCCATCTGGCTGGCAGGGCCCTGAGCCCCATGCTGCAGGTTATGTGAGGGAGTGCCCGATAGCAGAGCCCCTCCTCATGCCCCGACCTGCCCCCGCCCCATGCATATCTCCTGTGTCTGCAGTGGGTGAATGGGGTTGACACGCTAGAGCATGAAAGGGGCTACCTCCCCTTCGAGACCAACATCCGCAGCCTGTTCCCGGTGGGGCCCCTGCCCTGCCTCTGCGCCTCTGCGTCACTGTCGCCATCAACAGCACGCTCAGCCCCCCACCCTGCCACCAGGGACCATCCATACGTGACCGACACGTCCAAGTGGGTACCATCCTGCCTCCACTGCACGCACCCACCTTCCCACCCCACCCTGTGGTCTTCCTGCCAGGGACAGGGTGGCCTACACAGAGATGAGGCCCTGATCTGGGGAGGCAAGTGAGCTGAGGGCAAAAGACCCATGGCAAGGGCCCAGCGAACCACAGTCCTCCGCCCTAGGTATCCCAAGGGTTACTTTGTCCAGAACACAGACTTTGACTTCTTCAACTATGCAGGACTGCAGCGGTCTGTGCTTCTGTACACGACACCAACTACATACATCGATGACATCATCGTCACCACCCGTGTGGAGCGAGACAGTGATGAGAGCTTCTGGTAGGATCCTCCCTCAGCGGGGCCCAGAGTGGCTCTGTTTGTTCCCTATTTGGAAAACTCTCCCAGGAAAAAGGTTCTCCCAGCATCTCTAAACCTTCACAGGTTCCCAACCACCTATGAAGCTAAAATCCAGGCTGTCTGAGCGGGCACGGGCTCCCGAGATCACTCATGTGGCTGATCTTACTTGGAGAAGAGGGGTTTGGTCTAACGTCACACAGCTCAGGGTGGCAGTCCTGTCCCTTCCCCACGGTGCTGCTCTCACTCTAGCTCCCATTGCTACACATCGTGCTCAAGGAACAGGCAGCTTCGGGGGGCCAGGTGCAGTGGCTCATGCCTGTCATCCCAGCTCTTTGTAAGGAGGACTTGGTAGGAGGATCACTTCAGGCCAAGAGTTCCAAGACCAGGCTGGGCAACATAGCAAGACCATCAGCACAAAAAATTTAAAAATTTGCCAGGCAGGGTGATGCGTGCCGGTAGTCCCAGCTGCTGAGGCAGGAGAATCAGTTGAGCCTGGGAGGTCAAGGGTGCAGTGAGCTGTGACCGCGTCACTGCAGTCTGGTCTGGGCAACAGAGGGAGACCCTGTCTTTTTTGTTTGTATTTGTTTTTGAGCTGGAGTCTCACTCTGTAGGAGCCCAGACTGGAGAACACTAGTGCAATCTTGGGCTCACTGCAACCTCCGCCTCCCAAGTTCAAGTGATTCTCCTGCCTCAGCTTCCCAAGTAGCTGGGATTACAGGCACCTTCCACTACATCCAGCTAATATTTTTATGTTTTTTAGTAGAGATGGGATTTCACCATGTTGGCCTGGTTGGTCTTGAACTCCTGACCTCAGATGATCCACCCGCCTCAGCCTCCCAAAGTGCAAGGATTACAGGTGTGAGCCACTGTGCATGGCTGGGATACCCTTTGTTTAAGAAAAATTAAAAAAAAAATTTTTTTTTAAAATATATCTTTTTTCTTTTGTGAGAGGAGGCCTTGCACTGTCGCCCAGGCTGGATGGCAGTGGTGTGATGATTGACAGCTGTTGTGGGGCCACAGTTGTAAGTTTCAAAGAATTTAGGCTGGGTGTGGTGGCTAATGCCTGTCATCCCAGCACTTTGGGAGGCCAAGGTGGGTGGATCACTTGAGCTCAAAAGTTCAAGACCAGCCTGGGCAACATAGTAAGACCCTGTCTCAAAAAGAATAAATAATTAAAATAAAAAAGAATTTAAATGAGAATCACACAGCAAAGATGATGCAGCAGAGAGCAATTTATTGTAAAGGGAAAAGTATTTTGCAAGTTAAGTGAAGAATAGCCCGGGCACAGAGGCTCATGCCTGTAATCCCAGCATTTTGGGAGGCCGAGGCGGGTGGATCACTTGCGCTCAGGAGTTCAAACCAGCCTGGACGGCATTAGCTGGGTGTGGTGGCGTGTGCCTGTAATCCCAGCTACTAGGGAGGCTGAGATGGGAGAACTGCTTGAACCTGGGAGGTGGAGGTTGCGGTGAGCTGAGACTGCAACACTCAATTATATAATCCCAGATACTCGGGAGTCTGAGACAGCCTGGATGACAGAGCGAGACCCTATCTCAAAAAACATAGTGAAGTGCAAAATACGTGGTTCACCCTGAAAGAGAGAATTCAGGGCAGGCTGCTGGTAAGGATGAGAGAGCGCTGGTTATTAGTGGGAAAACTCCCTTTCTAGGAGGCTTCCATGATGAATTCCTAAGGAGCTGGGAAGAGGTGTTACTCTAAGCACGTTCTGGGTCATCCTCTGGGTGCACATGGGCTGTAGCTGTACATGCTTGTTCACACATCACACGTCTCAGTGCTGTGGTTGGCACGTCTGAAGGACACGGTTGCTTCCTTGACTACCTACTCTGCCTCAAGATCATAGCTCACTGCAGGTATGAACCACCGTGCCCAGCCTACATCCTCTGTTTCTGACTTTGTGGCTCAAGCAGTTCTGGCTCAAGCAGTCTCCTAGCTCAAGCAGTCCTCGCACTTCAGCCTCCCAAGTACCTGGGGCTGCTGGGATTGCAGGCAAGCACCACCATGCCCAGCTAATTTTTGTTATTTTTAGGGAAGATGTGGTTTCCCTATGTTACCCAGGCTGGTCTTGAACTACTGGACTCAAGTGATCCTCCCACCTCAGCCTCCCCTGTGTTGGTGTGTTGGGATTACAGGTGTGACCACTGTGCCTGGCCAAAAAAAAGATTTTTTTTTTTTTTTTTGGAGACAAAATCTTGGTCTTGTCACCAGGATGGAGTGGTGCAATGGCACGATCTTGGCTCACTGCAACCTCCACCTCTGAGGTGCAAGCTTTTCTCCTGCCTCAGCCTCCCAAGTAGCTGGGATTACAGGCATGTGCCACCACGCCCAGCTAATTTTTGTATTTTTAATAGAGATAGGGGTTCACCATGATGACCAGGCTGGTCTTGAACTCCTGACCTCAGGTGATCCACCCCTCTCGGCCTCCCAAAGTACTGGGATTATAGGCGTGAGCTACCACACCCGGCCCAAAAAAAGTTTTTTTAAATTAAAAAAAACGCGCATGCCTATAATCCCAGCACCTTGGGAGGCTGAGGTAGGTGGATCATGTAGGGTCAGGAGTTCGAGACCAGCCTGGCCAACATGGCAAAACCTGTCTCTACTAAAAATACAAAAATTCACCAGGCATGGTTGTGCATGTCTATAATCCCAGGTACTCAGGAGGCTGAGGCAGGAGAATCAACTGAACTCCAGAGGTAGAGGTTGCAGTGAGCCGAGATCACGGCACTACAGTCCAGCCTGGGTGACAGAGGGAAACTCGGTCTAAAAAAAAAAAAAAAAAAAAAAAAAGCAACAGAAGCAAATGGCTGCCTGGGAGTGGCCGCTGTGGGGCATTCCCATTTGTGTGACCCAGGTCGTGTCCCTCCCTAAGTCCTGGTCTCTCTTGCCTCCTCCAGGGCTGGTGAATTACCAGATCTCCATCAAGTGCAGTAACCAGTTCGAGTTGGAAGTGCGTCTTTTGGATGCAGAAAACATTTGGATGCAGAAGTCGTGGCCAACGGGGCTGGGACCCAGGGCCAGCTGAAGGTGCCAGGTGCCAGCCTCTGGTGGCCAGACCTGATGCACGAACACCCCGCCTACCTGTACTCGTGGGAGGTAATGATGGTTCGGGACTTGTTTAAGGGAGGTCTTTTGCCCCCTCTGGCAGCCCTGGCTTCAGCAGGAGCCCAGGACAGGTGAACGGGCAGGCGCGGTCCTCTGAGCTCTCTGATGTTTCCCACCTTTGGTGGGGGGCCCAAAGGTTTTTTTTTGTTTTTTTTGTTTTTTTTGTTTTTGAGATGGTCTCTGTCACCTAGGTTGTAGTACGCTGGCCTGATCACAGCTCACTGCAGCCTTGAGCTCCCAGGCAGCAGCAGTCTTCCTACTTTGGCTTCCTGAGTTGCTGGGACTATAGGCACATGCTACCATGCCTGGCTAATTAAAACAATTTTATCTGTAGACCGGGCATGGTGGCTTACATCTGTAATCCCAGCCCTTTGGGAGGCTGAAGCGGGCAGATCACTTGAGGCCAGGAGCTCAAGACCCGCCTGGCCAACATGGTGAAACACTGTCTCTACTAAAATACGCAAATTTGCTGGGCATCTGTAATCCCAGCTGCTCGGGAGGCTGAGGCAGGAGAATTGCTTGCACCTGGGAGGCAGAGGCTGCGGTGAGTTGAGATCACGCCACTGCACTTCATCCTGCGCGACAGAGTGAGATTGTCTCAGAACAAAATCTTTTTTATAGAGTTGGGGTCTCATTCTGTTGCCCAGGCTGGTCTTGAACTCCTGGTCTCAAGTGATCCTCCTGCCTTAGCCTCCCAAAGCGTGGGGATTCCAGGCATGAGCCACCTCGTCTGGTCAAGGAGAAGGCCCAATTTTGAAGGGCAGGTCCCAGGGTCAGCCAGAGGCAGAGCCTCTGATTGCTGCTTCTCTGCTTGCAGGCCCCGAGGCGGCTGCTGGGGTGCACTGGGGGTCTTCCTGCTGCAGGGCAGGCCAGGCCAGATGGGGCTCAGGCTGTCGGGGTGCTCACACCTGGCGCTTTGGCTGTCGTAGGTGTGGCTGACTGCACAGACATCACTGGGGCCTTTTTCTGACTTCTACACACTCCCTGTGGCGATCCGCACTGTGGCTGTCACCGAGAGCCAGTTCCTCATCAATGGGAAACCTTTCTATTTCCACAGTGTCAACAAGCATGAGGATGCAGGCGTGCATTGGGGCTCCTGGGTCCTCGTGGGGGCTGCTGCTGGTCACCTTCCATTTTCGCCTTCCCTGTGTCCCATAGCTGAGGGCAGCCCAGGGCAATGAGGCAAATGGCTCCAAACCACCCCGCTGCGGAGCTGGTGCTTGGGCTGGAGAGGGGGCTCATAGGGTGGCTCTCCAGAGTCCTGCCATTGGAGGAAGTGCAGCCGTGACAGGGACAGGGATCACTAGGCTCTGCTGTCCTCTAGATCCGAGGGAAGGACTTCGACTGTCTGCTGCTGGTGAAGGACTTCAACCTGCTTCGCTGGCTTGGCACCAACACCTTCTGCACCAGCCACTATCCCTACGCAGAGATGCTGCAGATGTGTGACTGATATGGAATTGTGGTTATTGATGAGTGTCCCGCTGTGGGCCTGGTGCTGCCATGAGTCCCTGCTGTGCGTCTGCTCTGCCTGGCCAGCCCATGGGCCACACCGTGCCTCCGTCCCTTCCCTCCTGGCCCCCAGCAGCTCTTCAACAACGTGTCTGTACATCACTACATGTGGGTGATGGAAGAACTGGTGCACAGAGACAAGAATCACCCTGCCGTGGTGATGTGGTCTGGCCAGGAGCCTGCATCCTACCTAGAATCTGCTGGCTACTACATCAAGTGAGTGCCCCTGGCATGCCCTGGGCTGGATCAGGAAGGAGACCCTGGCAGGTGGCAGATGGGTGGACGTGTGCTATCCGAGATCAGCGTCCCATCCCAATCCAATGGGAGGGCCGTCCATACCCGGACAGTTCAGGGAACCAGATATCTACTTACCCAAATTGTGGTTTTATTTTTCTATGTTTTTGCGACGGAGTTTTGCTGTGTCGCCCAGGCTGGAGTGCAGTGGTGAGATCTTGGCTCACTACACCCTCGGCCTCCTGGGTTCAAGTGATTCTTCTGCCTCAGCCTCCTGAGTAGCTGGGATTATAGGCACGCATGAGTGTATGCACTTGGCCTGTTTTGTTTTTGAAACGGGGTCCACTCCGGTTGCCCAGGCTGGAGTACAGTGGCATGATCTTGGTTCACTGCAGCCTCGACTTCCCAGGCTCAGGTGACCTTTCTACCTCAGCCTCCCAAGTAGCTGGGATTATAGATGTGTGCCACCACCACACTCAGCTAACTTTTGCTTTTTTTTTTTTTTTTTTTTTAAGGAAGTCTTGCTGTGTTCCCCAGGCTGGAGTGCAGTGGCGTGATCTCAGCTCACTGCAACCTTAACCTCCCAGGTTCAAGCGATTTTCCTGCCTCAGCCTCCCAAGTAGCTGGGATTACAGATGCGTGCCACCACGCCTGACTAATTTCTAGTAGAGGTGGGGTTTCACCATGTTGGCCAGGATGGTCCCCATCTCTTGACCTTGTGATGTGCCCACCTCGATCTTCCAAAGTGCTGGGATTACAGGTGTGAGCTACCGTGGCCAGCCAACTTGCATTTTTTTAAGTAAAGACAGGGTTTCACCATGTTGGCCAGGCTGGTCTTAGAGTCCTGACCTCAGGTGCCTGCCTCGGCCTCCCAGAGTGCTGGGATTATAGGCTAACCAACTGTGCCCAGCTAATTTTTATATTTTCAGTAGAGACGGAATTTCACCATGTTGGCCAACCTGGCCTCGAACTCCTGGCCTTCAGTGATCCGCGTGCCTCAGCCTCCCGAAGTGCTGGGATTATAGGTATGAGCCGCAATGCCCACCCCCTTTTCTTCCTTACAATCATGAGATTGTAAGGCAGTTCTCATTCAGCGTTCAGAGGTGGAGTTTTTTGCGGTAGAGGCAACAGAGTTTGTAGAAATGCTCCTTGAGGCAGATGCCACACCCCAATTTCATGCAGTGCTTTAAGCTGAGCGAAGTCTGCAGCAGGCGGAAGGCTCTGAGATGTCATCCCAGCCTGAGCAACGGACAGTTCAGGGCCCAGGGGCACAGGAGTGTGCTCAGCAGGACTGGGCGGACAGGCCCTTTGTTGGGAAGGTGAAGAGTACAGCCTTCCAGGAGCGGGTGCCTGAGGCTTCTGGACAGGCTTCTTTGGGAGGTGGCCTGAGGAGATGTCTGTTTTCAGGGGCAGGAATTGGAGGGGGCGCCCAGGCTGGAGAGGTTCAGCCAGGCTGTCACAAGACTTTGAAGCTTCCCATATGAAAGCCTGGCTGTTGGAGAGCGTGGGTTTGGAGCATGAGGCTAGGGGGTTCTGTTCAGTCCAGTGCCAGGCACAGCCTTCGGATGGGCAGAGCAATGATTGGGGGAGGTTGTAAAAGAAAAGAAATGAAGTGAGGAACGAGAAGAGGAAAACAGGCTTCAACAACAGTCTAGGCCCAGCGCAGTGGCTCACGCCTGCAATCCCAGCACTTTGGGAGGCCGAGGTAGGTGGATCACGTGAGCTCAGGGTTCGAGACCAGCCTGGTCGACAGATAGTGAAACCCTGTCTCTACTATACAAAAACTAGCTGGGCGTGGTGGCGGATGCCTGTAATCCCAGCTACTTGGGAGGCTGAGGCGGGAGAATCTTGAACCTGGGAGATGGAAGTTGCAGTGAGTCAAGATCGCACCCTTGCACTTCAGCCTTGGCAACAAGAGTGAAACGCCATCTCAAAAACAACAAAAAACAGGCCAGGTGTGGTGGTTCACATTTGTAATCCCAGCCCTTTGGAAGGCCAAAGCAGGAGGATTGCTTGAACCCAGGAGTTTCAGACCACCCTGGGCAATATAGCAAGACCCTATTTTTACAAAAAATTAAAAATTAGCTGGACATGGTGGCATGTCCCTGTAGTCCCAGCTACTCAGGAGGCTTAGGCAGGAGGATCTCTTGAGCCCAGGAGATCGAGGCGGCAGTGAGCTATGATCGAGAATGAGACCCTGTCTCTAAAAACAAAAAAGAGTAAGAGAACAGGACCATCACTCACAGCACCTCTGCCTCTGCCCTCTCTACTTGAATGAGGAGCAGGGCATCTCAGCTGCTAGGAGCAGCCCTTAAACGAGCCCCAGCTATTTCTGGGGTCCTCAGACGAAACCTCCCATGGCCAAGTCATACCCAACACGGGCCTCCTCCCCTGTTCCGGCCGCCACTTGGAGATGCTGAGTGACAGAGGCTTAGGCTTCGGGTGTTCCTGGCAAAGCCTCACCCCCGAGGCCCCACAGCTCAGACCCAGTCCTTGGTTCACACGGCCCCACATCTGGCCTCTTTTTCTCTTAAGACTGATTTCTCCTGGAAGATCACTGGATCCCTCATTCAGGTGGAGTGCTGCAGGACGACACTTTTTCCAGGGGTGACCCAGGCCTGCAGGGTCCCAGTGTCACAGGCAGACCTTGCCTGAGCCTCCACCTGAGCTCCTGCTCCTCCTCTCCGTCAGGGAGGTGGAGGTTGCAGTGAGGTGAGTTCACGCCACTGCCCTCCAGCCTGGGCAACAGAACGAGACTTTGTATCAAACAACAAAAAAAAGCCAGGGGCACAGGCCCTGGAGGAAGATCAGGGCGTGGACGAAGCTGCCTCAGTGCCACTTTCCTGCCCGGCACTCAGATGCCTTTCCACAGGGCCCATGAGGCCTCCAGGGAAAGCCATGTTCATAGCCGAGACCAAGGGGTTTGCCCTCAACCAGCTGTCACTGCAGGAGCTGCAGACCATTGGGCAGGCCACCCCCTTCCCCATGCCATCTCCTAGGAGGTGAGCCTGGGTGTCTGGAGCCCAGGGTGGCCTGGGGCCCTGGCCCACCCCTTCCTCTCTTCAGCCTCCTGTTCTCAGGCAACATGAGCTGTGTGTGGAACTACAGGCACAGCGTGGAGTAGTATGGTGCCCTGGATGGCACTGGACACTCCAGCATCGACTGGCAGATCAGGTGCAGGCATTACTGCATACACAGCAGGTCTAAGTCCTCCCACGCCTGCCCCCAAAAAAATGGGCGCGAGAGGAGGTTGCTGCGTGTTTCCTGTCCTAGCCTGGCTCCCTCGTTGCTGGGCTTTTTGGGGCTGGCCTGTGGGGATGGTCAGGGACTGGGGAGGCAGAGCGGGGTCGCCTGTAATCCCAGCACTTTGGAAGGGCAAGGTGCGAGGATGCTTGAGACCAGGAGTTTGAGACGAGTCTGGGCAACCGAAGGAGTCCCTGTCTCTACCCAATTAATAAATAACTAGCACAGCGTGGTGGCCCATGCACATCATCTCAGTTGCTTGTAAGGTTGAGGCAAGAGGATCACTTGCGCCTAGGAATGGAGGCTGCAGTGAGCTATGATCACACCACTGTATTCTAGCCTGGACAACAGAGTGAGACCCTGTCTCTAAGAAACTAAAAAAATTTAAATAACTGGAATCGGAGAAAACTGGGCAAGGGCAGTGAGAGTCATAGATGGGAAGGGAAGAGGGGGCTCCCACCACAGCCTCTGCCCTGTCCAGGCCCCATCCCCTTCAAACAGGGTATCACAGTGACCTCCTAGGCCAGGAGCGGTGGCTCACGCCTGTAATCCTAGCACTTTGGGAGGCCTGGGCAACATAGCAAGACCCCAGCTACTGCATTAAAAAAAACAAAAAACTAGCCAAGCTGGGCAGGTGGCTCACACCTGTAATCCCAGCACTTTGGGAGGCTGAGGTGGGTGGATGACCTGAGGCCAGGAGTTCGAGACCAGCCTGGCCAACGTGGTGAAACCCCATCTCAAACTCCGTCTCAAAAAAAATAAAACCAGCGTGTGGTGGCACACACCTGTAATCCCAGCTACTCAGAAGGCTGAGGCAGGAGAATCGTTTGAACCCAGGAAGCGGAGGTTGCAGTGAGCCAAGATTGCCCCACTACACTCCAGCCTGGGCGACAGGGAGACTCCCTCTCAAAAAACAAACAAATTAGCCGGGCATGGTGGCAGGAGCCTGTAATCCCAGCAACTTGGGAGGCTGAGGCAGGAGAATTGCTTGAACTCAGAGGTCGGAAGTTGCAATGAGCTAAGATGGAGTCACTGCACTCCAGCAATCCTGAGGAGACTTAAAAACTAAACATAGTATGGTCTGTTGGATGAGATCTTGGGACAGGAAAAGGACATTAGGGGAAATAGTAAAGAATAGTAAAGATGAATCTTAGTTGATAATAATGTATAATAATGTATCGGTATTGGTTTATTGGGGCCGGGGATGGTGGCTCACATTCTAGTACTTTGGGAGGCTAAAGTGGGAAGATCCTGAGGTCAGGAGTGTGAGACTAGCCTGGGCAACATAGTGAGACTACATCTCTCTAAGATTTTTTTTTTTTCTTTTGGTTAGTCAGCATGGTGGTATGCACTTACAGTCCAAGCTGCTAGGGAGGTTGAGGAGGGAGAATTGCTTGAGCCCAGGAGTTTGAGGCTGCAGTGAGCTGTGACTGTGCCACTATGCTCCAGCCTGGTCAACAGGGCAAGACCCCATCTCTCCAAAAATTTTTTCGTTAAAAATTTTTTTTTTGAGACGGAGTTTTGCTCTTCTTGGCCAGTCTGGAGTGCAGTGGTAAGATCTCAGCTCACCGCAGCCTCTGCCTCCTGGTTTCAAGCGATTCTTCTGCATTAGCCTCCCGAGTAGCTAGGATTACAGGCGTGCGCCACCATGTCTGGCTAATTTGTATTTTTAATAGAGACGACGTTTCTCCTTGTTGGTCACGCTGGTCTCTAACTCCCGACCTCAGGTCATCTGCCCGCCTTGGCCTCCCAAAGTGCTGGGATTATAGGTGTGAGCCACCGTGCCCGGCCTTAAATTTTTTTTTAAACTGAAACAAGGTTTCACTGTATTTCCCAGGCTAGTCTTGAATTCCAAGACTCAAGTAATCCTCCCACTTTGGCTTCCCAAAGTGCTGGGATCATAGGTATGAGGTACCATCCCCAGCCAGGTTTTTACCTGTAGCAATTTACCATACTAATTTAAGATGTTCATAAGAAGGAAGCCAGATACAAGGGTATGTGTGAACTCTCTGCTGTCTTGGCAATTTGTCTGTAATTCTAAAACTGTTTTAAAAAGTGTACTCAACTTCTCAATGTGCTGCTAAAGAAAAAATAATTAAGAAATTAAAAGTGTTTTATTTTTAAAATCTTTTGTATTTATTTTTTTGAGACAGGGTCTTGCTCTGTCACCCAGGCTGGAATGCAGCAGTGTGATCTTGGCTCACTGCAACCTCTGCCTCCCAGGTTCAAGCAGTTCTTCCACCTCAGCCTCCCGAGCAGCTGGGATTACAGGCATGCACCACCGCGCCCGGCTGATTTTTGTATTTTTAGTAGAGATAGGGTTTCACCGTGTTGGCCAGGCTGGTCTTGAACTCTTGGCTTCAAGCAGTCCACCCGCCTTGGCCTACCAACGTGCTGGGACTACAAGCGTAAGCCACCGCGGCCGGACTATTTTTTAAATACTTTTTAGAACCCAAGTCTTGTTATGCTGCTCAGGCTAGATTCTAACTCCTGAGCTCAAGCAATTCTCCTGCCCCAACCTCCTGAGCAGCTGAGACTACAGCACGTGCCACCACACCCCGCCAAAAAGTTTATGTTTTTTAAAAAAAGAGAGGGCTTAGGACTTCCTGGAGCACAGACTTCAAATAGCAGCCGAGTCCACAATTGTGCTCCCTTCCCTCTGGATCTTTCTTCCTGAGTGCCTGTGAAAAGCAAGCTTTGGCCCTGCCTGTGCGGCTCCAGCCCGCCGGTGATTGTCGTTTCCTGACGGCCAGTCCTGCGGGCTCTGGGCTTGCTTAGCCAACCTCACAAATGCAGAAGCCAAGCTTTTACCAATCTATCTATCTATCTAGATGTATGTCTGTATATAGCTTTTTTGTTTGTTTGAGACGGAGTCTAGTTTTGTCACCCAGGCTGGAGTGCAGTGGCACAATCTTGGCTCACTGTAACCTCCGCCTCCTGGGTTCAAGCAATTCTGCCTCAGCCTCCCGATTTGCTGGAACTACAGGCATGCACCACCACGCCTGGCTAATTTTTGTATTTTTAGTAGAGACAGAGTTTCGTCGTGTTGGCCAGGCTGGTCTCAAACTCCTGACCTCAGGTGATCTGCCTGCCTCGGCCTCCCAAAGTGCAGGGATTACAGGCGTGAGCCACTGTGCCTGGCCAGAAGACAACCTTTTATAAATCTATGCAGATGTGTGTCCCTATATGTTTATCTATGTCTGGATCTGTGTATCCTACTGGTTCTGCTTCTCTGGTTTGCACCCTAACACAACTGGTTTTTTTTTTGAGTTGGAGTTTTGCTCTGTCACCCAGGCTGGAGTGCAGTGGTGCAATCTCTGCTCATTGCAACCTCCACCTCCTGGGCACAACTAGTATTTTGTAATCTGTTAGGAATTCATATGTTTTTCAAAAGATCAAACTACATATTTAAATACATTTCAAATACAAATTTTTTTTTGAGACGGAGTCTCGCTCTGTAACCCAGGCTGGAGTGGAGTGGCCGGATCTCAGCTCACTGCAAGCTCCACCTCCCGGGTTCACGCCATTCTCCGGCCTCAGCCTCCCGAGTAGCTGGGACTACAGGCGCCCGCCACCTCGCCCGGCTGTTTTTTGTATTTCTTAGTAGAGACGGGGTTTCACTGTGTTAGCCAGGATGGTCTCGATCTCCTGACCTCGTGATCCGCCCATCTCGGCCTCCCAAAGTGCTGGGATTACAGGCTTGAGCCACCGCGCCCGGCCTCAAATACAAACTTTTAAAATCATATTATGAAACATTAAGTAATATTCTACATTATTAGGCCAGGGACAGTGGTTTATGCCTATAATCCCAGCACTTTGGGAAGCCAAGGTGGGTAGATTGCTTGAGCTCAGTAGTTTGAGACCAGCCTAGGCAACATAGCAAGACCCTGTCTCCACAAAAAATAGAAAAATTAGCTGGGCATGGTGGTGCGTGCCTGTAGCCCCAGCTGCTCGGGAGGCTGAGGTGGGAGGATCACTTGAGCTCAGGAATTTGAGGCTGCAGGGAAGCATGATTGAGCCATTGCACCCCAGCCTGGGTGACAGAGTGAGACCCTGTCCCACCCCCCCACCTCCACAAAAAGTATTTAAAAATAGGCCAGGTGCAGTGGCTCATGCCTATAATCCCAGCACTTTGGGAGGGTAGAGCAGGTGGATCAGTTGAGGCCAGGAGTTCGGTACCAACCTGGCCAACATGGTGAAACCCCATTTCTACTAAAATTGCAAAAGTTCACCTGGTGTGTTGGTGCATGCCTGTAATCGCAGCTACTCAAGGCTGAGGCAGGACAATCTCTTGAACCTGGGGAGGGGGAGGTTGCAGTGAGCTGAGATGCAGCCACTGCATTCCAGCCAGGGTGAAGGAGCGAGACTGCCTCAAAAAAAAATAAATAAATAGCTAAACAATGGGTTCAAATGGACATAAAGATGGAAATAACAGACACTGGGAACTCCACATGTGGGGAGGGAAGGAGGGAAAAGGGTTGAAAAACTACTTATTGGGTACTATGGTCAGTGTTTGGGTGATGAGTTCAATAGAAGCCCAAACCTTAGCATTTTGCAGTGTACTCATGGAACACACCTGCACATGTGCCCCATGAATCTAAAGTTTAATAAAATAAAAATAATAAACAGTGCAGTAGACAATTATAGACGTTTAATCATAAAACACTTCAGATAAAATAGCACTGAATAATTTTTTTTTTTTTTTTTTTTTTGAGGCAGTCTCATTCTGTCACCCAGGCTGGAGTGCAGTGGTGAGATCTCAGCTGACTGCAACCTCCGTCTCCCGGACTCAAGCAATTCTCATGCCTCAGCCTCCCCAGTAACTGGGATTACAGGCGCACACCCTCCGCCTCCTGGGTTCAAGCGATTCTCTTGCCTCAGCCTCTGGAGTAGCTGGGATTACAGGCACCCGCCACCATGCCCGGCTAATTTTTGTATGTTTAATGGAGACAGGATTTCTTCGTGTTGGCCAGGCTGGTCTTGAACTCCTGACCTCAGGTGATCCACCAGCCTCAGCCTCCCAAAGTGATGGGATTACAAGTGTGAGTCACCGTGCCTGGCCAAATAATTTTCTTTAAGTCCTTCATCTTTAAATAATCCCATTTCATTCTGATAACTTTGAGATTATCTGACAGAATTCTTGGGGGAAAGGTTAGGACTGTAATCTTTTTATTGACAGCAAGCGGTGTGTTTTGCTCCAAAAAAATCGTTCTGCTTTCTTTTGATCTTTCAGTTTCATAATGTATGAGTTGGGATTTTTTTTTTTTTTTTTTTTTTTTGAGACAGGGTTGCCCAGGCTAGAGTGCAGGTGTGATCGTGGCTCACTGCAACCTCCTCCACCTGGGTTCAAGTGATCCTCGTGGCTCAGCCTCCTGAGTAGCTGGGATTACAGGTGCACACCAACACGCCCAGCGAATTTTTGTATTTTTAGTAGAGATGGGATTTCACCATGTTTGCTGGGCTGGTCTCGAACTGCTGACCTCAAGTGATCCACCTGTCTTGCCCTCTCAAAGTGCTGGGATTACAGGTGTGAGCCATCATGCCTGACCTAGATAGAGATTTTAATCAATTCCCCAAATCAGTTTTGATTCTGTCATGCTCATTATCTGCTTCTTCAAAAAGTCTTTGAACCAGTGTTAAGAATATTATTTTTGCATCAGTAGCTGGGCACGGTGGCTCATGTCTGTAATCCCAGTCCTTTGTGAGGCTGAGGCAGGTGGAGAGATCAGGAGTTCGTAATCAGCCTGGCCAACATGGCGAAAACCCGTCTCTACTAAAAATACAAAAATTGACTGAGTGTGGTGGCAGGCGCATCACTTCAGCTACTCAGGGAAGCTGAGAATCGCTTGAACCCGGGAGGCAGAGGTTGCAGTGAGTCGAGTTTGTGCCACTGCACTCCTGCCTCGGTGACAGAGGGAGACTCCACTCCATCTCAAAAAAAAAATAATATTTTTGCATCAGATGCTTTGCTTTGTTGGTGTTATCTTCTGACTCTTGAAGATAGTAAAGTATAGAAGTGTGAAATAATAATAATATAATAATAATAATATTATTATTATATACTATAATAAAATGTTCCTGGGTAGCTAACGGAAGAAAGAGGAAGCAAGTTAGACAGGTTAAGCTTTTCTGAATATTAGTTTGGAAGGTGTTGGCCCACCTGAGTTCAAGTGATTCTCCCACTTCAGCCTTCCGAGTAACTGGAATTACAGTCATGCCCCACCACACTTGGGTAATTTTTGTATTTTTAGTAGAGACTGGCTTTTGCCACGTTGGCCAGGTTGGTCTTGAACTTCAGACCTCAAATGATTCACCTGCCTTGGTCTCCCAAAGTGCTAGGATTACAGGTGTGAGCCACTGCACCCGGCCTGGAAAAATTATTTTTAAATTAATTAAATGTATCCTTGTTCAATTTGGAATTTTAGTGAATCAAAAAACTCCATGAATAGTCTCAATACAAAATAATTCAGATTTCAGATTCAGGCCAAAACAATAGTATTACACCAACAAAAATACCAGTATTTCCATATTTAAAGCGAGCACAGCAGGCTGTGTGCAGTGGCTCATGCCTGTAATCCCAGGACTTTGGGAGGCAGTGGTGGACGGATCACTTGGGGCCAGGAGTTTGAGACCAGCCTAGCTGGTTTCACCATGGTGAAACCTCATGTCTACTAAGAATGCAAAAATTAGATGGGCGTGTTGGCATGTGCTTGTAATCCCAGCTACTCAGGAGGCTGAAACTTGAGAATCACTTGAATCCGGGAGGCGGAGGGTGCAGTGAGCTGTGAGCTGCGATGGCACCACTGCACCCCAGCCTCAGAGACAGAGTGAGACTCTGTCTCAAAAAACAAAAAAAGCGTAGTGCCCAAGGATACTGGAAAACCAGGATGCTGAAGACCAAGGTAGAAGGAGTAGGGTGGAACATGAACAGAATACATTCTCAGTGAATGCTTCTTGAATAACTCCATGATATTTTATACAATTACGCCATCTGCCCTAAAACAGACCTAAAGCTAATGAGTGAGTTTCCTTGCTCTATCGGTGAACTAATTGAAGTTTTTTTCCTGAGAGCTACTGTGTGGCCAAATGGGCATTCCTGAGTGAAGACTAGCTATGGGCAGCATTCTGCTAGGGTTTTGTTGTTTCTTTCCTTTTTTTTGTTTTTTGTTTTTTGGTTTGTTTTGTTTGTTTGTTTTGAGATGGAGTCTCGCTCTGTCACCGCAGGCCTGGAGTGCAGTGGTGCCATCTCGGCTCACTGCAAGCTCCGCCTCCCAGGTTCACGCCATTCTCCTGCCTCAGCCTCCCGAGTAGCTGGGACTACAGGTGCCCACCACCATGCCTGGCTAATTTTTTATGTTTTTGGTAGAGACAGGGTTTCACCGTGTTAGCCAGGATGATCTCGATCTTCTGACCTCATGATCTGCCCGCCTCATCCTCCCAAAGTGCTGGGATTACAGGCATGAGCCACCGCGCCCAGCCAGATGAGATGATCCATTTCTTACTGACTTCAAGATGTGATAAAAGCCTTCGAACAGTGGCTTATACCTGTAATCCCAACACTGGGAGGCCAAAGTGGGAGGATCACTTGAGGTGAAGAATTGGAGAACAGTCCAGGCAACATGGCAGGAGCTTGTTTCTGCAGAAAAAGTTAAAAAATAAATAAATAAATTAGCTAGGCATGATGATACACACCTGTAGCCCCAGCTATCCAGGAGGCTGAGGCAGGAAGATTATTTGAGCCCAAAAGTTCAAGGCTGTAGTGCACTATGTTTACACCACTGCATTCCAGTGTGGGCAACATAGTTAGACCCGTCTCTGGGAAAAAAAAAATTAAGAAAGAACAACACCCAGTCAGGCACGGTGGCTCACGCCTGTAATCCCAACACTTTGGGAGGCCGAGAGGTGGGTAGGGTTGTTGATTGAGAGAACACCCATGGCAGTGTCGGTTTGGCATTACTTGCCTTCTAAAGGCTGTTTCTGCTTCTTACTTCGTTTTTCTAGGTTGCCAGATTATCATGTGAACTTGTCCTATGTCCAGTGCTGATTGATTCAGGGGAAGGCACCTGTCCCAGGCTGGTCCAATAAATGTCCTTACACAGATATTTGGAACGGAGACTGAAAGACAGTTGAACCAGGCTCTCTGCAAAATATAAAATTTAGAAGCTCCCTGTAACCATGCTTCAGATTATGTGAACTAGAGGATTGGGGGAATTGCTGAGAAATAAGGACAAATCTCAGAGAGACAGAGTGGTGTTTGAGTCTCTGACTCCAGTTCTTAAGGCCAGTGAGTTCTGAGAGATAGAACTATCTTGTTTATGAATTCCATGAGACAGTCCATAAACCTGTCTTTAGGCTTAAGCTAGTTTGAGTTGGGTTTCTGTCACTTGCAACAAGAGTCCTGACTACTGCAGTTGAGTAGAGTTAAAAGGTATAACCTCAATAGGTGAGCTAGCTCTGGCTTTAAAAGGCTTCCAGTTTGAATTACACTTCATTCCCTCTGGTGCCCCTAGAAAGAGCCCTCTCTAACACAGGCCAGCAGCTGGCAGACACGCTTCTGTTTTTTTTCTCTGCAGGAATTTTACTGCCTTGATTTGAGACAGATTATCAGAGGTGGGCACCGTTATCCTCTCTTTCATGCAGGATTTATCACATGTAAGTATTTGTGTTATGTTTGCATGCTACATTTTGGTTAGAATTTAACGATCATATCTCTCATCAAGGTTACCCACATGATCACTCTAAGGCTGTCGTAAGCCTAACTGACAAGTATTCCATATGTCAAGATGTCAAGTGCAACCCAAAATAAGATGCAAGCACCAAACTGGACTGAGAGAGAAATGCTAGGAATCTTCGCCCTTCCTGCCTTTCTTGATAATGACCATGCATCCTGTGAGGGAAATAGTGTTATAGTGATAGAAGGGTAAGGTTCTGAAATTTGAAGAGATGGGAGGCCAGGTGTGGTGGTTCATGCCTGTAATCTCAGCATTTTGGGAGGCCAAGGTGGGTGGATTGCTTGTACCCAGGAGTTCCAGATGAGCTGGGCAACATTGTGGGACCCCATCTCTTCCATCTTCCCAAACAGAAACTCTAAACCCACTAACTACAGTCCCCCATTCTTCCTTCCCCCTCGCCCTGATAACCTCTTCTACTTTTTGTCTGTGTGAATTTGCCAATTCTAGGTACCTCATAAAAGTGGATTCAAATGACATTTGTCCTTTTGTGTCTGGCTTATTTCACTAAGTATAATGTCTTCAAGTTTCATCCATGTTGTAGAAGCTTTTTGAAATTAATTTACAAATAATTAACAATCAAAACCTATTAAGACCTATTCAAAGTAGTACAGCTGGGCGCGGAGGCTCAGCCTGTAATCCCAGCACAGTGGGAGGCCAAGGCGGGGGGACCACAAGGCCAGGAGATCGAGACCATCCTGGCTAACACAGTGAAACCCCGCCTCTATTAAATATGCAAGGCCGGGCACGGTGGCTCAAGCCTGTAATCCCAGCACTTTGGGAGGCTGAGACGGGCGGATCACGAGGTCAGGAGATCGAGACCATCCTGGCTAACACGGGACCCAGCTCACTGTTTTAGGTACGTGGCTCTCACAACCTTTCCCAGCCTGTCCCACCCTCTCCTGTCTGGAAAAATCTGTTTTCTTTTTCTGGGGCTTCTTCCCCTCTGCCCTCCAAGCCTTAAGCATGGAACCTTTCTCCATGGGGTCTGGGGGAAGCGGGCTGGTCTCAGGGTAACTGGCAGAAAGGGCCCCCACAGTGGGAGCAGCCGCCTTCAGGTTCCAGCAGCGGGACACAGCCTGGTCCTGGGGCCTGGGCTGGGATTGGGCAGGGTCAGGGCTCCTCCCCTCTCCCAGGGCACAAGTCTGAGTGAGGGACAGAGGCCAGTTCTGATGAGGGGCCCTGCAGTGGCCTTAGAGACAGTCCCCGGGACCCCAGGGTCTAGGCTGAGGCTGGATGCCCATCCAGCCTGGGAGGGCCACACGGGGGCCCGGGGACACAGGGGTCACCTTGAGGGGAGACCAATGGAGGGCACAGAGAGGGTTCTGGGTCCAGGCTGTAACTCTGTGGACTGTGCTGGGTCGTGAGGACATGGGGACACAGAGGGATGGGTGAGACTGGGTGAGGTCGAAGATCCCAGCTCTCCCAGGACAGTCACAAGAAGGGAGAGGGTCTCTTAGGGCAGAGATGTGTCTGTCCCTGGAGCCCCGTCACCTCTGGGGCCCGGTCTCTCTTCACGGGTCGACCTCCCGCCTTCATTTGAGGAAGGGCACCTTAGAAGGTGACTAGCGGGGAGGAAACAGGGGTACAGAGAACTCCATGGCCACCAGGTGAAGTCCAGGGGCATCAGAGGCTGCTGGGGTGGGCATGGGGGCTGCGGTGCCCCGAAGTCAGGGGGAGTAGCCCCAAGAACCCAGCCAATGTGAAGAGTCCTGTGGTCGGGCTGGTGGGGACAGGGGCGACGGCAGAGCCCCAGGGTTTGTCTGAGTGGAGCCCCTGCTTCACCAGGAGAGCTGAGTGGGCCAGGCTGGGACACAGCCTGGTGTTCCCGGGGACAGGAAACTCCAGGCCATGCCAGGCTTGGGCCTCCCCACACCCTGCCAGGACGGTTTTGTGTGCTGTGGGGGAGACGCTTAGATTCCAAACTCAGACTCCAGAAACCGGGAAGGAGGGAGCACAGCCTGCCCTGGACATGGGGAAACCGAGGCTGCAGAGGAAATGACTGGGCCAGGACGCCTGGGAAAGGTGACTTGGGAAGGCCCCTAGGAAGGTGCAGGGCTGTCTGCTCTCCAGAGGGCTCCAGTGGAAAGGAGGGAATGAACAGGGAAGGAGAGGCCCTGGGTGGACCAGACGGCCACACCATGAACCCTCCCAGAGACTTTAGACAGAGAGAGGCGCTCCACAACACCCCACTCTCCCTCTGCCGTCTCTCTCTCCTTCCTCTGTCCATGCAGGTCAGCCCAAGGTCACCCCCTCGGTCACTCTGTTCCCGCCATCCTTTGAGGAGCTCCAAGCCAACAAGGCCACGCTGGTGTGTCACAAGAGTGACTTCTATCCGGGAATCTTGACGGTGACCTGGAAGGCAGATGGTACCCCCATCACCCAGGGCATGGAGATGACCACGCCCTCCAAACAGCAAGAAGTAGGCAGCCAGCAGCTACCTGAGCCTGACTCCCGAGCAGTGGAGGTCCCGTAGAAGCTACAGCTGCCAGGTCACACATGAAGGGAGCACCATGGAGAAGACAGTGACCCCTGCAGAATGTTCGTAGGTTCCCAACCCTCACCCCAGCCACAGGGGCCTGGAGCTGCAGGATCCCAGGGGAGGGGTCTCTCTGCATCCCAAGCCATCCAGCCCTTCTCCCTGTACCCAGTAAACCCTCAATAAATATCCTCTTTGTCAACCAGAAATCCTGTTCCCTCTCTTCATATCTCTCATATGATTTGATGCTTCTCCTGGGCTCTCAGTGTGGCGTTGGGGGAATCCTGGCACCAGTGGGAAAGTAACCTGGAGGGGAGGATCACAGTCTCCCAGGGGTGACCCTGGCGAAATAGGCCAGGATAGGATGAGTCAGCTCACTGAACACTGGTCCCTCCATTCTCTCCCACCTCCCCCTTCCTCCTTACAGCTCAACCCCCAACTTGCTGCCTGTTTTCTGGAGGGAGCTATTTGTGGCTGATACACCCTCTGTCCTAGATACACCCTCTGTCCCTGTCCTGGTCTGGACCCTCTACCCACCCACAGCCTGTCTTTCCTCAGCCTGCAAATCCTACTCTGGAGCTGGAGTCCCTCTGCTTCTGGCCCTGTCCCCTGGAATGCCCTCCTTCCTCTCTGCCCAACTCCCCACCCCCGAGGGTTGGACTGTCCAGGACACTCCCACACCACCAAATTCATGAGCTCTTAAGTTTTGGGCCCACCTTGATTCTTCACCTGACAGCAAGTTCAGAGGTGTGAGAAAAATAGGAGGAAGCCGGGAAGGAAACACATGAAAGGCTTGCAAGAGGCTCAGGACACTTGCAAAAGATAGGCTCTGAGTCCCCCAGGAACCAGTGCAAGAAGGGTAATTGATGCTCCATTCTTTCTTTTTTTTTAAAATGGAGTCTTGCTCTGTTGCCTAGGCTGGAGTGCAATGGCACAATCTCGGCTCACCATAACCTCCGCCTCCCAGGTTCAACTGGTTCTCCTGCCTCCGCCTCCTGAGTAGCTGGGATTACAGGTACATGCCACAATGCCTGGCTAATTTTTGTATTTTTATTACAGACAGCGTTTCACCAGTTGTTCAGGCTGGCGTGCTCCATCATTTCTAAGAGATTAAACAAGTCTTTGCTGTAGAGAAGTTGGTGTTCTCAGTGCTGAGGCCAAGCAGCTCATCATAATTAAAAGTGGGGATGTGTTTTACCCAAGGCCTCACTGTTGATGGGATTTGGGCTCTGACATACGCACAGGTAACTGCCTGGCAGCTCTAGGACATGGAGATTTTCTCAGATGCTTGGCACAGAAAGTCACTGGCCATCTTTGGAGGAAGCATCATTTTTGGGAAACACTTCTCCATTGGATCCTGAGCCTCAGGTGGAAAACCAGATCCTGTGTTGGGAATTTCTCTGGGAGGCTCCCTGGGTCTGGGGCTCCAGCTGCTCTCTGAGAAGAAGGTGTGAGGGGAGAGAACATGGCCCAGCCACACCCAGCCCCTCCTGCATGGTTCCTGCTGAGCAGGGTGTTACAGGGGTGGGGGCACCAGCAGTGGTCAGGCCTGTGTTTCTGTGGGTGGGGCCAGGGAGGGACCCTCGGGGCATCCCAGGGAGTCTCTCCCATGGCTCCTGTTTGACTTTCCTGTGGCTGCTGCTGTCACAAATGACCCCTAATTTAGAGGCTTAAAACATCACACATTGATTCCCTGGTCTGGAGTCAGACGTCCAAAATAAATCCCAGAGTGCTAAAATCAGGGTGCCAGCCGGGCCAGGCTCCTTCTGAGGGCTCTGTGGAGAATCCATTTCCAGGATTTTTCCAGCTTCTAGAGGATGCCCTGGGGTCCTGGCACCTTCCTCCAACTTCAAAACCGGAGCTCAGCATCTTCAAATCTCTCTCCCACTTCTCTCTCTCTCTCTCTCTCTCTCCCCCCCTCCCTCCCTCCCTCCCTCCCTCCTGCCTCCTTCTTTCCCTTATAAAGATCTCACCTTGGACCCACCCAGATAACCCAGATTCATCTTCCACCTCAGTCGCCTTCACATCCTCTCATTTATAAAGTCCCTGTGGCCACACAACACAGCACATGGACAGGTCCCGGGACTGGGACACAGCCATCCCTGGGCCTAATTCAGCCACCCACAGCTCCTTTCCCTCCTTCCTCTCTCCTCCGGGTATAAGAAGGGAATGCAGAGAGGTTGGTCAATGAATACACACAGTTAGATGCAAGGAGTGTGTTCTAATGTTGGATAGCAGAGTAGGGTGACTATGGTTAGCAATAATGTATTGTATATTTCAAAATAACTACAAGAGAGAACTTGAAATACACACAACACATATAAATGATAAATACTCAAGGCCATACCCCAAATATCCTGACTTGATGATGACATGTTGGATGCACGGAACCAAACAGCACATGCGCCTCATAGAAATGTCCAATATTATGTATCAGTATAATATTTTCTATGAATAAGAAAGGCAAAAAAAGAAGCTAAGCATAAACTAGCTATTTGACCTAGCAATTCCAGCCCTAGGAGTTTTATCTAGAAGAAATGAAAGCATGTGTTCAAAAAGACGTATATATAAATGTTCTCAGCAGCCTCATTCACTACAGGCAACAACTGGAAACAACCCAAGTGTCCGTCAGCTAGAGAATGGATAGACCCATGTGGTCTTGCGTACAGTGGAGTGCTGCTCAGTTATACAAAGAAAAGAAACTATGGATACAGGCCATAGGAGGGATGAACTTCAAAACATTACAGTAAGTGAAAGAAGTAAAACTCCATGAGGGAAGTTGGTGAGTATGGACATGTTTTTGAACTGGCAGAATTTTTCTGTGTTCATCGGGGTATTACGTATTGAGTCCCTGTTGACCAGCTACTGTGCTAGGTACGGCCATTAGAGAAATGAGAAGCAGACGCCATCTCCATTGTGATGAGACTCACCCCATCAGCCATTTCTGATGAACACTCAGGTACCCTGACTCTCACTGCTCACATTTGCAGGCTTTACTTAATGCCACTTAAACCTCCCTATTCCCCAAGTCTTCTTTCTTTTCTATTTTGTTTTTTAGACAGTCTTGCTCTGTCACCCAGGCTGGAGTGCAGTGGCACCATCTCGGCTCACTGCAATGTCCATCTTCTGGGTTCAATCAATTCTCCTGCCTCAGCCTCCTGAATTGCTGGGATTGCAGGTGCCCACCACCACACCTGGTTTATTTTTGTATTTTTAGTAGAGATGGCGTTTTGCCATGTTGGCCAGGCTGGTCTTGAACTCCTCTGGACCTCCGGTGATCCTCCCACTTAGGCCTCCCAAAGTGTTGGGATTACAGGCATGAGCCACTGCGCCCGGCCCCCAAGTCTCCTTTCTTTCCAACTCCTCTTATGAGGCACAGCTTTTTAAAGCAATCCCTGCCATACCCATGGCTTCAATTGTCTTCTCTATGCTCTGATGACAATAAAATTTAAATGTTGTTTTTATATAACAGCTTTATTTTACATGTCACCTCATTCACTACGATTCAAAGTTGCTCTAAGAAAGTAATAACTAAAAAGTTCTTATATTTTAATATGTAAATTTTAGGATATTTCCTTAATGATTTGACTTTGTATGTGTATTTTTTAAAACATGAGTTGTGATGTCACAGAATGGATTTAGCCTACAGAGGTTTCTATCCAATTTTCTACCAGAGAGCTCCATTTCAATGCAATACTTAAGAGTCCAAAACTATCTTTTTTTTTTTTTTTTTGAGACGGAGTTTCACGCTGTTGCCCAGGCTAGAGTTCAGTGGCACTATCTCGGCTCATTGCAAACTCTGCCCACCAGGTTTAAACGATTCTCCTGTCTCAGTCTCCCAAGTAGCTGGGATTATAGGCGCCTATCATTGCGCCCAGCTAATTTTTGTAATTTTAATAGAAATGGGGTTTCACCATGTTGGCCAAGCTGGTCTCGAACTCCTGACCTCAAATGATCCAGCCACCTTGGCCTCCCAACATAATATCTCTTAATTGGTCCCATTGCTTCTGTCAGCCCTTCTCTATTGTGCAGAGAGACCTCACTGCAAACACATCTGATAGAGACTCCTCACCTCTGTGTGGTTCAGTGACTCTCATGTTTCCGGAACAAAATTTAAACTCTATTTAAACTCTAGTGCTGGACAGTGAATGAGCCTTTGTATTCCAGGTTCATCCACTGTCCAGCAGTGGAGCCTCAGACAACTGAACTCTAAGCCTTTGTTTGCTCATCCGCCTAAACTCACTGAGCAGTCATGGGACCTTGGGGAAGTTACTTGATTTTTCCATCTAGATTTATGCTGTAAAATGTGTACAATGGGACTGTTTTTGAGGGTTAAATGAGTATGCCACAGTTGCAACACTGTCAGGCACATAATGCTTGCCAGATGTTGACTCTTCATCTTTATCCTATGAGGCCAATGGTACCGCACTGTGGGGTTCTCAATTTTGTATAAGAAACTATTGCTTTGTGATTTGTTAGTGAAAGAAATATCTGAGGCCGGGCGTGATGGCTCACGCCTGTAATCCCAGCACTTTGGGAGGCCGAGACAGGCAGATCACCTGAGGTCAGGCGTTCAAGACCAGCCTAACCAACATGGTGAAACTCTCGTCCCTACTAAAAATACAAAAATTAGCCAAATGTGATGGCGTGTGCCTGTAGTCCCAGATACTCGGGAGGCTGGTGCTGGAGAATCGCTTGAACCTGGGAGGTGGAGGTTGCAATGAGCTGAGATCATGCCACTGCACTCTAGCCTGGTCGACAGAGTGACACTCCATCTCAAAAGATAATAAATAAGTAAATAAAAGAAATATCTGAGTACCCCTGCCATGGAAAGAAGAAACAGGGAGAAAAGGGAGTTGGTAGGTCCTAGCATTACAGAGCTGGGAAGGATGTGTTCAGTCCCTATTTTATAGACCAGGAGGGGAAAGTGTGATGTGTCCCAGGCTGTCATTCAGGATACACAGCCATGACTCTCTACTGAGAGTGGGACCTGGGCCATGGGCGTAGCTATGATCAAGTTGCAGACAAGAACTAACTCTTGTAGGACAGGAGAGAAGCATTTAGTTAGAAAAGCAGTCAAAAATTTGTGTATAACTGCATTTGGTGAACAAATGAAAGCTGTCAAACTCAGAAAAACAGAAATGCTGGTGGAAATGACTTTAGTAACTGAGGTTTTCTTTTTTTTTCTTTTTCTTTTTTTTTTCTGAGACACCCTTGTCACCCAGGCTGGAGTGCAATGGTGCAATCTTGGCTCACTGTGCAACCTCTGCTTCCTGGATTCAAGCAGTTATCCTGCCTCAGCCTCCTGTGTAGCTAGGATAGCAGGTGCCCGCCACCACGCTGAGCTAATGTTTTGTATTTTTAGTAGAGGTGGGATTTCACCATGTTGGCCAGGCTGGTCTCGAATTCCTGACCTCGGGTGATCCACCCCCCTCAGCCTCCCAAAGTGCTAGGATTACAGGTGTGAGCCACCGCTCCTGGCTGTACCAGGGTTTTCTATTGAGTTTCTCGCCTAGGGTGACTTCCAATAATAACCCCCCTGCACTTTTCTCAGGACTGGAAAGCTCAGGCAGCCCAGGGTGAATAAAAGCCTGAGTAGTGCAGTCAGCACAGAGGGGCAGGGTGGCCACAAGATGGGCAGCAGCAGGGATGGGCATTGTGAAGCCTTGGGTGGGGCTGTCGGGCTGGACATTGTGAGTCACTAGCCTGACCTGGCTGTTTCCTGGTAACCAGGTGACATAGGAAGCTTTGTGGGTTATAGGCATCAGCCAGGGCCAGCAGCCCTCAGTCGGTAGCTAGGAGGAGGAGGAGGAGGAGCTCCGACTGTGCTGTATCCCAGCAGTTTTTGTGCCTCTCGGCGCTTGTTGTGTTCATTTATTTTTCAGGGAAGACAGCAGGTCCCCGACATCATAGACCAGCCACTTTAGGAAGTGGTTTCAAAGTAAGGGCTGAGGCCCCAGATCTGCCTGGGATCAGGCTGCTTCTACAAGTGCTGTGCCAGCCTCAGTAGTTTGGCTACTAGGGCAGCACCGTTTCAGTTTCACCAAAGGCTCAGGCAGGATTGAATGTGGGTGCCCGATGGGGTGTATACTGAGCTGTTGCATCGACTCCACCTGTGGCTGGTGCAGGGGAGAGGAGGAAACCTGTTATGAATCTGATACTTATCAGGCTGTGGCTGCTGCAACATCAGAATCCACTACTGTAGAGCCTGGCAAGCTGGATGTGGGAGCCACCGAGGACCACGACCTGCAGCACATCAGCAACCAAAAGATGCCCACAGGTAAAAAAGCCATGGATGTCGTTTACTCTCTGGCATACCTCTGGCCACCCTTCCCATACCCTCATCCCCAGAGACATCCTCAGCTTCCAGCTCCCTCCTGCCCATAGCCAGCTTTCCCAGATCTGGGGCATGGGGGCAAAGGCTGACTCTGCCTCTTGTGTTTGTCGTTGAGGCTTTTTTTGATCTAGAAGAGGGAGAGCCCTCTTCTTTTTTTTTTTTTTTTTTTTTGAGACTCAGTCTCACGCTGTCGCCCAGGTTGGAGTGCAGTGGCGCGATCTTGGCTCACTGCAAGCTCCGCCTCCTGGGTTCACGCCATTCTCCCGCCTCAGCCTCCTGAGTAGGTGGGACTACAGGTGCCCGCCACCGCGCCCGGCTAATTTTTTGTATTTTTAGTAGAGATGGGGTTTCACTGTGGTCTCGATCTCCTGACCTTGTGATCCGCCCGCCTCGGCCTCCCAAAGTGCTGGGATTACAGGCGTGAGCCACCGCGCCCGGCCAGGGAGAGCCCTCTTCTCAATGAAATTTCAAAACCCCAATTTTGGAGTCCCCATCCCATTCTCTAGCCGACCTATCCAGCCAGTTTGGTACCTAAATGGAGGAACCAGGTAAGAGTCAGATTGTTTCTTCCATCCCTTAAGGTAGCTTATTATTTTTAATTAATTAATTAATTAATTATTTATATGGAATCTCACTCTGTTGCTCAGGCTGGAGTGCAGTGGTGCGATCTCAGCTCACTGCAACCTCTGCCTCCTGGGTTCAAGCGATTCTCTAGCCTCAGCCTCCGGAGTAGGGACTACACGTGCAAGCCACCACACCCTGCTAATTTTTTGTATTTTTAGTAGAGATGGGGTTTCACCATGTTAGCCAGGACGGTGTCTATCTCCTGACCTCGTGATCCACCCACCTCAGCCTCCCAAAGTGCTGGGATTACAGGCATGAACCACCACGCCCAGCCTGTAGTTTAATTTTTTTAAAAGTTCTGAGATACATGTGCAGGATGTACAGCTTTGTTACATGGGTAAAAGTGTGCCATGGTGGTTTGCTGCACCTGTCAACCCATCACCTAGGTATGAAGCCCTGCATGCGTTAGCTGTTTATCCAGATGCTCTCCCTTCACCTGTCCCCTGACAGGCCCCAGTGTGTGTTGTTCTCCTCTCTAACACTGTACATAGTCTAAGACCACTACCTTGCTGATGACAAGTCTAAGTGATGGGTCGCGGGGGACTCTCTTGCCTGTTTTTGTCTGGAAAGCCTGCCTGGCTTCCGGTTCCTGATAAGAGTGAGGACCTGGAGCGCAGTGTGAGGAACAGATGGCTCAGTGAAGAACTGTGATCATCCACTGGAGACCCTGGAAACAGCCGTATCATTTACATGGTGTGGGTTTGTGTGCAGGAGGGTTGGGAGGTAGCTAGGGGTGAATCCATGCGTAGTGAGTGTGAGTGTGTTTGTAAATGTGTGTTTTCCCCAAAAATTGTGGCCCTGCATGCCCAGCACAGTACAAGTGTCACTTTTCTTGAATTCCTGGCCTATGTGGTCCTCTTACCTCAGCCTCCCGAGTCATGTTTTCTAATAAAAAGGAAGCAAAACTTCAGCACCACCATACACTTTACATAAATGACCTCTTTCCTCCCTCACCACAGCTGTACCTGAAGGTATGTTCAATATCCCTACTCCTTAGCTGGAGAGAGTGCAGAAAGGAGTGAACCCAGATTCTGACCTCCTGAATGGAGGAGGCAAAAGTGAACCCAGAAATGGGTCCCAGTGTTGATGGTCTGTATTACTCACCTGTGTCATCACTCAGGCTTGGTGACAGGACCCCACACCAGGGAGTTCCAGCACCTATGTGTACACCTGGAACTGTGTGGCCTATAAGCTACCAAACTTTGCCCATCATCAACTGGGGCCCCAGTGGTCACATAACCCTGGGTAGCAAAGGTACACGGAACAACAGATGTTGGCATGGACATTACTGTGAAATACACATAGAAAGCCCACAGGCTTCTGGTCAGCTCACAGATTCTGAGAAGTGTAAGGGATCACATAGAACAGTGCAGGTCAACATCTGTCAGTGCTGGGCTCATTCCTCAGCACTTGGTCAAAGCAGGGAAGATCAGGAAGATACTGCATTGTATTTAATAACAGGACTACCTCAAGCCTTAGAATTGCTCCAATCCATGGCTGGGCATGGTGGCTCATGCCTGTAATCCCAGCACTTTGGGAGGCCAAGGCAGCAGATCACCTGAGGTCAGGAGTTTGAGACCAGCCTGGCCAATGTGGTGAAAGCCTGTCTCTACTAAAAATATAAAACATTAGTGGGCATAGTGGCCCATACCTGTAATCCCAGCTACTTGGGAGGCTGAGGCTGGAGAATCACTTGAACCTGGGAGGTGGAGGTTGCAGTGAGCCGAGATTGAGCCACTGTACACTCCAGCCTGGGTGACAGAGTGAGACTCTGTCTCAGAAAAATAAAGAAAGAAATAAAAAGAGATGCTCCAATCCATAGCAGACAGACAAGGGCCAGTGCCACATCAGAACTCAGGACAACATTATCATTAGCCTGGTGCCCATCACCCTCACTGGAGACCTCCTGCACAGCCAGGTGAGTGAGGCTTAGCACTCACCAGGTACTGATCCCCATGGTGGACTGTCCCACTGTCGGGGGCTGGGGCGAGCATCAGCAGCCACTGACTCAGTGGACGTACACACAGTGTAAAGAAACGGAAGGCATGGGCTGGGTGTGGTGGCTCATACCTGTCATCCCAGCACTTTGGGAGGTCGAGGTGAGTGGATTGCCTGAGGTTAGGAGTTCGAGACCAGCCTGACCAACCTGGTGAAACCCTGTCTCTACTGAAAATACAAAAATTAGCTGGGTGTAGTGGCGGGTACCTGTAATCCCAGCTACTCGGGAGACTGACGCGGAGATCACTTGAACCCAAGAGGCGGAGGTTGCAGTGAGCTGAGATCGAGCCATTGCACTCCAGCTGGAGTGACTGAGCAAGACTCCATCTCAAAAAAAAGGAAAAAAGAAAAGAGCGGAGGAGAAATGTCTAACAGGGTTAGTACATATATCTCTGAGACCTCTTCTGAGTAGGAGTGAGCAGGACCTGGCCTTCCTGTCTGCCAAGAGCGTGGTGTGGACGTCATCCTGAATGCCTCAAGAATGGAGTTTCATTGCTTTCTCTTGTCTTCTCCATCTCTGTGCGATGATGGCAGTGACACCAGCAGAAATTGGTGAGGAGGCAGAACAGGAATCAGGTCCCCACTTCTCTGACACAGAGCAGACAGGACACAAGTCAGGACAGACACAGACAGGTCCCAAGCCTGATCTTCCTGGGGCTGGGACAGATGAGTTTTTCTTTTTCACCTCTTCTGGAAGCCACTTGAGGAATGGTCCTTGAGGAGACACTATTGGCCAAGGGTTGTCTGGCCACAAATGTGTTTCGATTTTGTTTTTTTTTTTTTTGAGCTGGAATCTCACTCTGTTGCCCAGGCTGGGGTAGTGCAGTGGTGTGATCTCAGTTCACTGCAACGTCCACCTCCCAAGTTCAAGTGATTCTCCTGCCTCAGCCTGCTGAGTAGCTGGAATTACAGGGATACGACACCATGCCCAGCTAAGTTTTGTATTTGTAGTACAGACGGGGTTTCTCCATGTTGGCCAGGCTGGTCTCGAACTCCTGATATCAGGAGATGCGCCCACCTCGGCCTACCAAAGTGGTGGGATTACAGGTGTGAGCCATCATGCCTGGCTGACATGTGTTTCAACTAGACAGACCCCCTAGCACTGGGCCTGTAGCTGCAGCACTCCCGAGTAGCAGGGGAGGTGGGGAAGGACATGAGTTCCAGTGCACCAGGAGCCAGCAAAGTGATGAGGACTGATTCCAGAGTCCAGCTCATCCTTGCAACTCTTCTGTGGAATCCAGAACACATCAGTTTCCACTTATTTTATAGAAGGTTTGGAATCTTCAGTGTCAAACTCTATCTGCGTTGTATCTTCCCACAGGGTGGATAGAGGAACCCTGGCTATGGGTGTTTCCTGCCAGGGCAGTGACTGTGTCTTCCTCATTAGTCCTTACCCCAGAGCTCAGTCCTGGGGAGAACATGTTAGGCCCCATGGGCACTGTAGTGAACACATCCCTGGGGTGAGTTCTAGGTCAGCCCTGGGCTGGGATCTAGCACACATGTGGAAATGTTCCCTTCTCAGCCTGTCCAGCCTGTTGAGCCCTACAGCAATCCTGGAGCCTGCCCCAGCTTCTGAGTCAGGGTCCCTGGAGATGAGGTTGAGCTCCTGAGGACAGTGAGGTGCCCCTGCCCCTGGGCTCCTGCTGCTCTGATCCGGTCTAGACAGGGTGTGCAGGGCCACGGTCTTCCCCTGTGTGCACATGCGCCCCCTGCTGGAATCCCTCTGGACCTGGATGTTGTCCTCATTGTTGTCATATCCCCAGCCCCACACAGTGACTGGCCCTTATGCACATGCCCAGGAAGTTACCATAAATGTATGGTGGGAGCACAGCTGTAAACCATTTCGCAAGAAAACACCAGGGGAGGGGGTCATGTCTTCCTCGTGTCTGGATTTCCTGTGCTGTCTAGTGTGGTTATCAGTCATATATGTGCCTCTTTATATTTAAATACATTTAAGTATTTACAAGTAAAAGTTCAGGGCCTGGCATGGTGGCTCACACCTGTAATTCCAGCACTTTGGGAGGCCAGGGCGGGTGAATCACCTGAGGTCAGGAGTTTGAGACCAGCCTGGCCAACATGGTGAAACCCCATCTCTACTAAAAATGCAAAAATGAGCTGTGTGTGGTGGTGCGTGCCTGTAATCCCAGCTACTCGGGAAACTGAGGCAGGAGAATCGCCTGAACCCGGGAGGCAGAGGTTGCAGTGAGCCGAGTTCATGCCATTGTACTCCAGCCTGGGCAGCAAGAGTGATCCTCCGTGTCAAAAAATTAAAAAAAAAAAAAAAAAAGAACCTCATCACAACAGCCACCGTGCAATGGCCCAACAGAATGCTCTTTCACATCTGCTGTGAGCCTGGCTGAGGGACCGATTATTGAACTCCTCTAACTCAAAGCATGCACATCAAAGTGGGAATCTCAGGGCTGTGAGATTGGAGACGAGACCTATAATGGGCCAGTAGAAGAAAAAAGTTGAAACATGGTTCCTTCAGTTCCTCTTTCTCACTTGAAGGCTGGCAAGTGTGAGCGATGCCTTTCTAGAGACCTCTGACTCCCCAGAGCCCAGGGAGAGTCTGACAACACCGAGGGAAGGGCAGAGTGATCTCGTGTAACCCAGTGTGGCCTCACCTGGAGTAGGAGGGTGGGCGAGTTGCTCTCTGGAATAAGTTCTTGTGGAGTTTTTGTCTCTAAAAATTGGCCAATGGACCCCATCCATGAGGGCAGCTGCAGTGAGGCAGATCTGCAGGTGGAGAATGATACTCTAGGAGGATCTCTGGGAGCAGTTGGGTGACACCTGTTGCTTTGGAATGTAGGAAAAGAGCAATGAAGATAGAACGAAAGGAAATATGTGTAGAAGTCTGACATGTTCCTTTTGTATTTTAATAAGATAGAGATGAGACAATTTATGTCCATGGGCTTTGTGTGCTGTGTTTGTAACCATTTTTTTCTTGCTCTGGTGTTTAATGGTTATCTTTCCAAAAGACCAGTTTGTCTTGTCTATGTCACAGCAAACATCAAAGCCTTGATCTCTGACTTGGGAATGCAAGAGTCTTATTAGGTCCAGGCACTGACTAAGATGCGAGGTATCTGGTGAGACTCCCTCATGCTCACTACTTGAACATAGTTGTTTCTCTGAGATGGTCTCAGAATCTTCAGTCCCACGCTCCATATGCCGCATCTAGCAAAGCTCCCTGAGGGACTCACAGTCTCCAACCACCAGGTCACTGACATTAACTCTGTGTCCTTTTAGGTCCCCGTGAGGGCAGCCTGAGTTTAAAATCTCTACCACCAAGTGAGGAAGACTATGATGATGCCCAGGTAAGACCCCCTTTCTTTGCCTTCTAAGGAAATGCAACTTTCCTGATGTGAGAAAGAAACTCACCCATCCACACCCAAAGAATGGACTCAGAGGCCTGCAGAACAGAGAAAGTGAGACTTTTAATGATGGTCTTGCAAGATCGGGTGTCTGATGGGCAGACACACCCAGCACAGTTTCAACAAGCAATCCACAATGCATTGCTATCCTAGTCAGCTCAGGGGCTCTTCAAGTATTTGACTTATGACCTAAGTAGCTGGGTAGGCTGATAAGAACAGACAAAGAGCTATTTTGCAGTCTAGTAAACTTTCAACTTAGACTAAACTTCTTTGTTAAAATGAGGACAACTAAGTGGGGTGGAAGCGGGGAGCCAACAAGCCGGCATTGCCTATCCAACCAGGAGCCTAGTGTTTCTTCTGTCCTTTGCTGACCTAAACATGTTCAAGGCACTTTGCCTTAAAAATGGACCACTGTATATATTATTTCCTTCACCTGATTTCTTTCCTTCTCAATTAATGTTGATATAAGAATATGATGAGGCACATTATGTACAACATACACAATAGTCCTTCTTGGGGTGGAGTTCAGTGGGAACGTCTTCCCATCTAATACATGACACACTAGGATGTTTTTAAATGACAGCATCCATCATCAACTGTAATGCAGAGGCATTTTCCTCCACACCAGTTTTCCTCTTTGAATTATGCATTATACTAATTTACCAATCTAAATCAACTTCAAAGAAATTCTGTGGGAAAAGCTCTTGTGTTTTCCACACATGTCCTCTATGCTAGAATGCTTTGTCTTTGACATGGACTCAACCACTGTTTTACAACTAGTTTTCTGAAGTCATGAAGAAACTAACAGGTCTGTGTAAGGGGTGTAGCAGAATTGATCTGATCCTCATAGCATCTTCTTTTCTCTCGTTGCAGATTTTACCATCACCCATCCAGGGTACGTACCTTGAATTAACTCACTTTCTGAGAAACAAACTTGTTGGCTTTAATATACAGAAACCTTAATCTGGGTTCCTGTTAAAAACTATTGGGGATCTGGTGAGAGCAAATGATTTTGCAAGTGTATAGCTGTGAGTAGAGGGGCTGTAGAAATGTGTGTGAACCCAGAGGACCAACCAGGAGATTTTGTGTGAGCCAGTGTGTCTTCACCTGGAGTAGGAGAAGTGAGTGCACCTCTCACTGACTTATCCTGATGTTGGTGGTTCTAAAGAGTGGATTCTGGAGAATCTCATCAGGGAGGAGGATGCCTTTCCAGGTAGGTAAGAAGATTTCAGGTGGGGTCTAATAAAACAGCATTTCCAGGAACCTTCATGTTATGCCTGCTGCTTGGGAGGCTGAGGTAGGGTTTAGAAAGATAAAAAAAAATAGTAAATATAAGCCATGTTTGTTCTTTTCAAAGTTTAATGTCATCATGGTGGGAAGTGTTATGTTTATGGGCTTTTGCGTATCCTGTGTTTTCGATCACCTCTTCTTGCTTTATTATTTAAAGATGATTTTTCTGAGAATACCTGCTCTTTTCTGTCTCTGCCACTACAAAATCTCAGAGCCTGTGGTTTGGGACACAGTTCTACCACAGGCAGTTACTTCATCCTGGATATAAAATTATTCTGCAGTGTGCCCAAATGCTTAGGAGAAATTGATCCTCACCTTACGAACTGTTAAGTTTCATGACCACACATTCCTTTGTCTGTCCTTGCTGTTTATCTCTGGTATCAAGCCATCTCCCTGGGCATGGAGGACAGAATGAAAATTCACTCTGGGCTCACTGCAAAAGCTCCAGTGTGTTGGAAATGCAGGAAGAAGCAGAACCTTGAGCACACTGTCAGCATTCCATTTCTTCGTTTGATTGAGAATATGCAGTTTTACCATCATTTGTGGAAGAGGCTTTCCTTTCCCCATTGTGTATTCTTGGCATCTTTGTTGAAGATCAGCTGACTCTGTGTGTGCATTTAATTCTGGGCTTTCGATTCTATATCTGTGATACTTATGTGTGCCCCCACACTAGAAGCAGGCTGTCTGAATTTCTCTGTTTTCTGTAGATTTCAGTCTCATGAATGTGCTTCCTCCAACACAATTCTTTTTCAACGTTACCATGGTTATTTGAGGCACATAAAAATCCATTAAAGTCTTAGGATTAATTTTTCCATTTCTGCACAGATGGCTGTTGTCAGTTTGGTAGCAGTTTTTGTGAGTCTGTAGATCATGTGTGTATTATGTGTTAGTCAGGTTTACTCTTCCGATCCATGAATATGGGAAGCCTTTCAACTTATTTGTATGTTCTTTACTTACTAGAATCTTTATGTTGACAGCTGATTAGTTAGATTTAACATGATCGATATAAATTTGTGAGTTCTTTTTTTTTTCTTTTTTTCTTTTTTTTTTTTTTGAGACGGAGTCTCACTCTGTCACTATACTGGGGTGCAGTGATGTGATCTCCGCTCACTGCCACCTCCACCTCCAGGGTTCAAGTGACTCTCCTGCCTTATCATCCCGAGTAGCTGAGACTACAAGTGCATGCCACCACACCCAGCTGATTTTTGTATTTCTAGTAGAGGCGTGGTTTTACCATGTTGGCCAGGATGGTCTCAATCTCTTGACCTTGTGATCCGCCTGCCTCAGCCTCCCAACATGCTGGGATTACAGGCATGAGTCACCCCTCCCAACCAAATCTGTGATTTGTTATACCAATATTTTGTATGTCTGAATGAATAGGCATCAAATAAAAAAATTTATGTAAACTCGTTAACCAAAAATCAGCCCCGTACTCATGGACATTTTTTCATGAATTTGTTCATTAGTATACATTTCCTCATTTCAGTAGATCATGTATATTTGAACCTGGAAACTTATTCTCATGGCAGAAAGTGTTCAGAGTCACGTCTCTCAGCTTCACTGGTGTAGGTTGCACAGGTTCGGTGAGCTTGGCCTGTTTGAATGAAGCCTGATCTTCAGGGAATCTCCTGAGGGAGAATGACACAGAGTTGCTGAAGCCCCTGATCACAGGGGTCCAAAAGGTTGTGTGCACACACCATGGTTCCAGAAGAAGACTTACAAGGAGGAAATCATGACTATTTTAAATTGTAGCATTTTAATATATTTTTTTAATGATCTCTATTGGCTCATGCCTATAATCCCAGCACTTTGGGAAGCCAAGGTGGGTGAATCACGAGGTCAGGAGATCCAGACCATCCTGGCTAACATGGTGAAACCCTGTCTCTACTAAAAATACAAAAAATTAGCCAGGCATGGTGGCGGACACCTGTAGTCCCAGCTACTCGGGAGGCTGAGGCAGGAGAATGGCATGAACCCGGGAGGCAGAGCTTGCAGTGAGTGGAGATCGCACGACTGCACTCCAGCCTGGGTGACAGAGTGAGACTCCGTCTCAAAAAAAAAAAAAAAAAAAGCTGTTTGTTTAGAAGAGTTTCAAAACATTTGAGAGGGAAGAAGGCACTCTTCCATTGACCCTTCGTGTGTGCTTTAGTTCCATTTGGGGTTGACTGTTTTGTGTTGCTGCATGATGCCTCTAGTACAAGGCCAAGGCCTCCATGTCTCATGTCTTTCCTGCTCCCCTTGTCTGCCATCCCTCTTCCACTAGGGGAATAGCCCAGCATCAACTCAGTCCATGGTTGTTAATCAGCCACCTCCGTACACCACATCCAGCAAAGCTCCCTGAGTAACTCACAGTCACAAACACCCAGGACACTGATATTTCCTCTGTGTCCTTCCAGGTTCTTCTGAGGAAAACCTGAATTTAGTATGCCCACCACCAAGTGAGGCTGATGATTGGGATGATGATGAGGATTATTATATCATTGAGGTAAGACCACCTTTCTTTGTCTTCTAAGAAAATGTTGGTTTTCTGATGTGAGAAACAAACTCACTAGTCCAAACCCAAAGAATGGACTCAGGGAGCTGAAAAATAGAAAAAGTGAGATTTTCTTTCCTTTTTTTTCTTTTTCTTTTTCTTTTTTTTTTTTTTTTAAGAAAGAGTCTGGTTCAGTTGGCCAGGCTGCAGTGCAGTGGTGCAATCTCGGCTCCATCTCCTGGGCTCAATGAATTGTCCTGCCTCAGCCTCCTGAGTAGCTGGGATTACAGGCATGTGTCCCCATGGCTAGCTAATTTTTGTATTCTTAGTAGAGATGGTGTTTCAGCATGTTGGCCAGGCTGGTCTCGAACTCCTGACCTCAGTAATCTGCCCACCTCAGCTTCCCAAAGTGCTGGGATTACAAGCATGAGCCACCCTGCCTGGCTGAAAGTGAGACTTTTCATGACAGTGTTTCAAGATCCGGTATCTTATGGGCAGACACACCGAGCACAGTTTCCACAAGCAATTTATCCCCTAGTGTGCAGGTCCCTCCCCTGGTTCCTCGTAGGCTGAGTACTATGGAGTCACAATCTTCCCAGGTGTTGCCTATTGACTTTTGGGGAGGGGGTTTAGGTATTTTTCTAGGGTTGTCTTACTGCATTTTGTTGCAGCCCACAATGCATTGCCGTCCTAGTCAGCTGTAGCTGGGCAGGCTGATAAGAACAGACAAAACGAGCTATTTTGCAGTCTAGTAAACTTTTATCTTAATCTTCTTTGGATGAAGTGAGGGCAACTAAGTGGGGAGGAGGTGGGGCCAACAAGCAGGCATTGCCCATCCAAGCAGGAGCCTGGCATATCCTATTTCTTCTGTCCTTTGCTGACCTAAACCGGTACAAGACACTTTGTGTTAGAAATGGACCACTGTATACATTATTTCCTTCACCTGATTTCTTTCCTTCTCAATTAATTTTGATATAAAAATATGACAAGGCACATTATGTACAACATACACAATTCTCTTTGTGAGGATGGAGTTCAGTGGGAGTTTCTTTTTCATCTCATACATGACACACTAGGGTGTTTTTGAAGGACAGCATCCATCATCAACTGTAATGCAGAGGCATTTTCCTCCACACCAGTTTTTCTCCTTGGATTAGGCCGTGTACATTTACCAACCTAAATCAACCTCAAAGAAATTCTGTGGGAAAAGCTCTTGTCTTTTCCACACGTGTCCTCTATGCTAGAATGTTTGGCCTTTGACCTTGACTCACCACTGTTTCACAAGTAGTTTTGTGAAGTCATCAGGAGACTAACAGATCTGTGTAAGGGGTGCAGCAGAATTGATCTAATCCTCATGGCATCTTCTTTTGTCTCATTGCAGATTTTACCATTGTCTGACCAGGGTACGTACCTTGAACTAACTCACTTTCTGAGAAACAAACTTTCTGGCTTTAACATATAGAAACCTTAATCTGGGTTCTTGTTAAAAATATTGAGGGTGCGGCGAGAGCAAATGATTTTGTAAGTGTATAGCTATGAGCAGAGGGGCTGTAGAAATGTGTGTGAACCCAGAGGACCAACCAGGAGATTTTGTGTGAGCCAGTGTGTCTTCACCTGGAGTAGGAGAAGTGAGTGCAGCTCTCACTGACTTATCCTGATGTTGGTGGTTCTAAAGAGTGGATTCTGGAGAATCTCAGCAGGGAAGAGGATGCCTTTCCAGGTAGGTAAGAAGATTGCAGGTGGGATCTAATAAAACAGAATTTCCGGAACCTTCATGTTATACCTGCTACTTGGCAGGGCTAGGGAGGGTGTAGAAAGAGAAAAAGAAAAGGTAAATATAAGTGAACTTTGTTATTTTCGGAGTTTAATGTCATCATGGTGAGAAGTGTCATGTTTATGAGCTTTTGAGTATCCTGTGTTTTCAACCACCTCTTCTTACTTTATCGTTTAAAGATGATCTTTCTAAAACACCTGCTGTTTTCTGCCTCTGCCACTGCAAAATCTCAAAACCTTTGGTTTAGGACAGAGTTCTGTCACAGGCAGTTACTTAATGCTGGAGACAAAATTTTTCTGTGGTGTGCCCAGATGCATAGGAGAAGTTTAATCCTCACCTTATAAACTGTTAGGTTTCCTGGCAGCACACTCATTCGTCTGTTTTTCCTGCTTACCTCTGGTATCAAGAGCTCTTCCTGGGCATGAAGGACAGAATGAAAATGCACTCTGGGCTCACTGCAAAAGCTCCAGTGTCTTGGAAATGGAGAGAGAAGCATAACCTTGAGCACACTGTCAGCATTCTATGTCTTTATTTGAATGAGAATATGCACTTTTACCATCATTTGTTGAAGAGGCTGTCCTTTCCCCATTGTGTATTTTTGACACCTTTGTTGAAGATCAGTTTACTGTATATGTGTGTATTCAATTCTGGGCTCTCTATATCTGTGAAACTTAACTTATGGGTGCCCCCTCGCTAGAACCATGCTGTCTGAATTTCTGCATTTTTTTGTATGTGTGGATTTCAATCTCATGAATGTGTAATCTCTAACACTATTTCTTTTTAAACATCATCATGGTTACTTGAGGCACATAAAATTCATTAAAATAGTAGGATTGTCTTTTCCATTTCTGCACAGATGGCTGTTACCAGTTTGATAGTAATTGTTGTGAGTCTGTAGATCATGTGTGTAGTATTGTGTGTTAGTCAGGTTTGGTCTTCCTATCCATGAATACAGGATGCCTTTCCACTTATTTGTACCTTCTTTACTTCCTAGGATCTTCATGTTGACAGCTGATAAGTTAGAT